TAATATAGATATAATTTAGTTTTAAATCGATGGAGTAAAGCAAATGTTGTTATCCCAATATAATTTGATCGAAATGATCCATCTTTCTGATGTTTCTTTCAGCTGTTTTTCGAATCAAGTCTGAATATAGAATTTAATGGTTCACATTTATATCCATGGGCAAAGCATAAGTCTACACTTCAGAAGCATCAAGTATGTAATCTCAATTACACAAATTCATATTAAAATACAATATTTGAAAAAAAAAAACCAATACGCTCCTCTCATATGGTGAGCGAGCATCTGGAGTTCGCTGAGTGTGGCCGAGTGGCCAATGGCAGTGCTCGACGATTTGTATCTGCCTATTGACAGGGTATGTCTATGAATGTGCGTGTGCAAGTGTGTGTGTGTGTCTGTGGATCATCGTTCAATATGCGTAACTACGCATTTGGCATTCACATTGAAGTGTACGAAACAAAGCGAAACGAAACGAAACGAGCTGAACTGAAATTTTGGGGCATAAATCATTCAGCTGCTAAATGACATACACAAGTCCGTAAGCATTGCCGTTGCTGATAATAAAAACAATGTTAAAGATACCCTGTAGACCAGTTTAGAGCGGAAAAGAATGATAGAGTTTCCGCAAGACTTATTTATATGCAAGGAAATCTTTACGTTAGTTTCGATTTAATTCTCTAAAGATAAGTAGGTTTGTAAGGGTTATGAGTTATTAATTTTTCTGATACCTAGTTTCGGGAACTTAGAACAAGTATAAAGTTAAATAGAATTATATGGAGTTTTAGTACTTTAATAATATTTAATAATATACAATGGAAATTTGTATCTTCAATCTTGCTTATATCTACAAAAATCTTTCATTTTATTATTCTAGATAAAGTTTGGTCAAATAAGGAATCAAATTTGAATGTTTTTAAAAGCCAATTCATTAGAATTTAAATATAATAAATATATATTCAAGAAATCTCATTGGCTATCCCTTTAGTCCAATATGCTCACTCTGCACTTCGCTTAGGGTATTAAACCGCCTGGCAACAACAATGAAAAACCACAATCGAAATCAAAATCTGCTAAAGAAAGCGTCGCCAGCGTTGTGTGTAAACAATTTGCTCTTGGGGCATCGAGCATGAGAAAATTCTGTTTTATTGTCGCCCTCGCTAGACCTATAGATCTTCAGCTTCCCCCAAGCAGCAGCAGCAGCAGCCGTAGCCGCAGCTGCCTATTTAAAACTAGGCAAACTGCGCCATCCAAACATTGTGGTAAATTAACAAAATTAAAATGGTCCGCTTTTTGAGAGCTTCGCCTCCGACTGTGACTCAGTTCGTGGCCTATGGCCAAGAGTCCGCCTCAGCTCTCTCAGCTGCGCATCGCGCAATATCGGAAATCTCATGTGCTGAGCCTATTTCGTGGGCATTTTATGAGAATTTATTAATTTCTTCTTATTTTTTTTTTCATTTCTTTTTTATAGTCGTCGAATTTTGTATAGCTTAACGAAATCAAAGTGCCGCCATTCAAAGTCGAATTTGTGTTCAGTTTTTGCTTGCTCCACAAAAAGTTTGTGACCTTTTTTTTATTTTTGGGATGTAACCAGAGCTCTATTGTTTCCAGTCGAATTTGGTCCGATGGAGTTTACAAATTAGTTTGTGTTTGTTTAGCTTTTAATGTTTATCTAATATGTTCGCTTTACTATGCGATCAAGAGTTCATATAAGAGATGAATCTGTCTTGTAACTAACCAATGAAGAGTAGAGTACTTTCATGAATCATGAATCACATAGTAAGAGAAAAATGATGCATTGTAATATTGTCTATCTCTAGAAATTTAGAAATTTTTGTTTGATTTTTATTTTATTTTTTCTTTCTATCTCTGTTTCTTCCATTGCATCTGTTTTTCTAGTTTTCTTTAGTTTTAGCTTATAGCCATATAGAAATTTTTATACAGATTTATCTTTCATGCATCGTCAATAATAATTTCTTTTCAAGAATTTATACACAAATACTCTGGTCACATATTATTTTTTTGCAATCAAAGTGAAACCATGTTTACAAACTGTTTTCAAGAAAATATCGTTAATTAGTTAGGTAGTACGAATAGCTCCTAAAATGCTGCTATATGTTTGTGGGTTGAATGGCCCATAATCTGTTAGCTGGCTAAGTGGAAGTGAAGGCAAACAATGCGAGCGAACAACTTCATTAGCACCACTTGGCTTATCAGTCAGGGAACAGGCCCAGCCCAGCTCGGATCAGCTTGGCTTGGTTCGACTGCAATGCGTGCAACACAAATTTATCTGGACGTGCAACATTTGACAACAATTGTGCGTTGATGGGGCTTGGTCCAGAGCGGTCGTGGCCTAGCCCCCATCCGGCTTTTAGCTAATAACAAGACAACAAACAACAAACATTTCATTAGCCATTAACGTCTCTCTCGCTCGTTGCCTCTCTCTCTCTCTCTCTCTCTCTCTCTCTCTCGACTTTCATGGTCAAACGTGCAACAAAACGGAGCATAAGAAATGTCAGTGTCAACGTTGTCAATTGAGCTGTTGCAACAACAGCAAAAGCAACAACAACAACAACAAGCAGCAGCGTAATGTAGCCGGCTGTGCTCGACTAGTGAATACCCTGCCAAGAACTGCTGTTGAGCGTTATAGCTTTCGTGTAGGACATACATACACACACACACATACACACAATGTCTGTTACATATGATCATAGCTTTTGTTTTAGTTATACGATTTAGGTTCCTGCCGAAACTCTCATCTCTATAAAACACACTTTTATTTCTCTCGAATCTTAATCATTTTTGAATCAAGTCTTCAGATTTTATTGCAGCTATGAATGAGCTTACGATGGATCGGACTACATCCACGTTAAGCTCTCGTCGCTCTGAGGCTTTTTTGGCCGGTGACATCAATTTAGCAGTTAGCATTCCAAGGTGTATACCCTACTTTATTTCTTGAGCACATTCAATAGGCTTAGAGGGTATAACGAACAGCAGCCACACCCAAACTACCCAACGCCCACCTCGCCCTGAGGCAAGGCGTTGCCTTGGACTTGGCAATCGTCTAGGTTTCAATGCCCCTGCCCTGGCCAATTCATATATGTATGTATGTATGTATGTATGTATATGCAAATGCCACACAGCTGCAGCCTGCAGCAGACTGAAACAACACCAATACATGTGTGTGTGTGTGCGATTGTGTGTGTTTCTGTTTGTGTGCGGATTCTAAAGTTAACCGCATGACGAATCACTTCGCATAAATTGAAACGCTACGTTGCATGCGCTGCATGTCTGCTCAAGAGGCCAAGCGACTATGAGAGGGCTGCACGGGGGCATGGCGGGGGCATGGCGGGGGCCTGGCTGTGGTGCCGCCAGCCGGGCTCCTTTAGCCAAAAGTGCGTTGCCAACGCCTCATAATTCTTCCAAATGCATATGTGTGGGGTTTCTGCTGCCCCGCTCGCCGCATGGGGGCGCACTGTAAGCTGAAAGCCTTTGACGGCAAACGTTGTTGTTGCTGTTGCTGTTGCAGTTGCTGTTGCAGTCGCAGCTCGTTAAATCGTGCAGCGTTGCCCCCACAGTCCATACAGACAATTCGCATCTCTGCGCCGTTCTTGCTAATTACACACACACGCGTACATTCATTCGTTTATACGTGCACTTTACGCAATAAGTCACCATATCATGAAATAGATAATACATATCAAATATATAACAATATTTTGCTATACTTTGTAAAAAAAAAAAAACAAAATAAATTTTGGGAAAAATTTTAAAGAAAATAAAAATGTCAAAATTCGATGTCAATTCCAAATTCCAATTGCAAATATGCACTTCCAGCTTTTACGCATTCCAATTGGAATCCCTCTTATTGGATTCTAATGCTAGTTCTTTGTACGCATGAGCCTAGATCAAGTACTTATATATGGTCATATGTATATGTGTGTCTCTTGCTGTGTGTATGTATCTGCACCTGCCTTAAGTTCACGTATGTAACATATATTGTATATATTTTACAATAGGTGTTATAACTTATGTCGTTTGTGGCTCATCTTTATTTTTATTCATTCTTACCTTGACGACATTTGTCATCAAGTGAAGTGCACTTGAAATGCATTCTGCAGCAGTTGTCAGCCTAAAGTTGTTGATAATTTGCAGAAAGACAAGCCAAAGGAAATATCTGAAAATATCAGATATATGTATACCTTTTTGGCTTACAAGAACGCTTGAATCATATTGTCCATCTGTACAAAATAGAGAATTCGGCTCAGTAGATTGTAGCCAAGCTGCATAAATGGTGTATAGAATAGGTATTGTATAGCTCAATTGGATTAAAGTATGCTCGTTGAAGAGCTTCAATTGATGTCATATCATTAGGTAAGACAAGCCCATCAACTGCGCCTCACGAATGCCGACGACAACTGCATTATATAATTTGTGAAACATGTCAATACAGATTAAGGTCACACGTATCACCGCATCCAATCCAAATCTGACAATGAGAGATTATAGGAACTGGCCCAGCCGGCTTCAGTTGACCATCAAATTTGAGTCTGGGCTCAGTCGTCGACGCCCACATTTCATGAATATCGACTGTTAGAGCTAAGCAGTTTACCAGTTGTTTTGTTTTATTTTATTTCTTATACAACTATGACCTAGTAAAATCACAATGTCCTAGTAATATATATACTGTTTACATTAATTGGGTTTTAATGTAAACAGTATATATATATATACCTTTAGTATTGAATTCGCATACAACGTTTTATTTAATTTCAATACTTTCTTAATTTTGTAGAAATAGTGCCCAGCCGATAGCAAAGAAAAACGCCTTAATGGAGAATCCAATTCCTATGCCGAGGATCGAGCAAAATAGAAGACCCTCTCAAGCGTTTACAGCAGCTTGAAGGAAAATTTGAGAAAAAAATAAAATCTCGTGTTGACAGATGTCAACGCCTTGTGGTTGCAATCGAGTGTTGGTACACAGCTGCAGATTGAATTTTATAGTCGATCCATAAATTGATTATGCTGCAACTATTTATAAGGTGTGAGCTGCCGGCAAGAGATTTCTATTTTTGTTGTTGTTGGTATTCCCATTAGCCAATTTCAAGACGGTCCAGGCCCCCAGAATAAATACAATAGATGAATTTCGTTATCATTGTGCAATTCACTTTACAATTTCGCTTTTCGTCAGAACATGGACAGTTGATTAGACATTTTTCATTTTTTTTTTTTCATCTCATTTCATTATAGTACCGACAAGCACATATAGTAAAAACAATGTGTATGACTAAAAAGAAATAGCAATTTAATATTCCAATTCATACAATTAAAATCTTACGGAACTTACCAAGTGGATAAATGAAATAGGCGATAACGACAGGAAGACCCCAGCTTAACACTAGTCCCAATAGATGTAGCCATTTAATATTCTTTAAAATGAATATAAATATTATATTATATTATTATATTATATGACTGAGTACATACCTTGAAGATTGCGACCAACATTAATATACCACCTACTACGGAGAGGGCACTAAATACTGCGATGGCTATAAAATAATTAGAGCCCATAAACCATAAACCAAGGGAAGTTTCTGTTTATAAAAATTATATTAATTAACCAAAAAAACAAAAAAATTGTCAATTAACATACGATATTGATGAAGGTAAAAGATCAGATTCAGAAGTCCATGGCCTAGCGACCAACCCGCCAAAAATAAGGCTTTACAACGAAGTGTACACGATCCATCATTACACATTATATAATTTTGTTGTAAATTTAACTGCTGAGAGAATTTTGTGTTTTTTTTTACGTTGGCTAAATATACTACGATGCTCGAATGTTCAATAGTAAATAGGACGAAAGTAAACTACAATATGTATGAAGCTTTTTCTGACCAAATCAAGGCATACTGGGACTTGTAATAAGTAAAACTGCTTTAGACTACTTGACTTCTTCTTTTGAAGATCAACGAATAACACATGTTTGAAATATATTTATTTTTTTATTATATTGGAAATGAAAAATAGGGGTATATTGGTTTTAATAAAATGCTTATAACAGGTAGAAGAAGGCTTGGTAGACCCAGTAAAGTATATATATATATATTTGACGAGAGCGACGATCTGAGCCGATTTAGCCCTGTGCGCCTTTCCGTATGTCTGAGCGCATCGATCTCAGATGACAGAGACGCGCAGATCGGCACAGAGAGCGAAAGAGAGTGAGAGGGAGTGAAAGAGAATAAGAGAGATAGTGAGGGAGTTAGACAGTGGGAGAGACTGACGGAGAGAGCGAGAGAGAGATCGACAGAATGACGGAGATAGAGAAAGAAAGACAGAGAGAGCGAGAATGAGGAGAGTAGAGAGTATTGGCTATTAGTTGGAGATAGATTGGTTTAGTGCATACAGTCCAAGGTCAGCCCAAGTGCAACATCGAGTGTGGCAGGTCTCACGGCGCAGACGGAATGCTTCTTATTTTTATAATTTTATATCCGGGCGAATCTGTCGACACCAAGCAACAGCAACAGCAACAACAACAACAACAACAGTCAAAGCCATGGCCACATTCAAGTTGCAACTTCGTGCTCGACGTGTAAATATTGTTTCAGGCTTTGCCTCAGTTGCAGCCAGGCAACTGCGGGCCGGAGAGCGCAAAATGTTGCCAGAGAAAACGAAAACGTTGTTGAGGCGCATTTAGCGCTAACAATGTTTGTTCTGGCTAGCAGCATCTCAGCAGAACAACTTCAGAAACACCAAGCACACTACATAGCGACTGGGTATAAGCGACTCTGCGATACTCTACTGAACGTCAAGTATTCAACTTAGGTAGGTTGATTGCTAATTGCAAAGAAAAATATAGTTTTTATGTGACTGAAAATGCTGTCTTTCGATATAGTTGTCAAACTCAAATAGATAATTATGGATTCTGTGTGATTTTTAGACTGCAAATTGATTCAAATTTTTCAATGATTTTGCTTCGGTAAAAAGTCGATTCTTAAGAGGCCTATGGACATTACTATTTTAATCAGTGAGTGATAACTCTAACAGATTTCAGTTAATGCTACAATATATTATTTAGCTGTCAAATATACACATCTTTGTCGTTTGCCGAACAGGGTATAGAAGCAGCTCCAGCCAGCTCTTTTGTTGTTTACTTTTGTACGCCGCTTTCAAGTTGATCCCGCGACTGGCAAAACGCCTGTCCCCCTACCATTCTTCTTTTCAGTTTCAAGGCATTGCCGAGCAACTAGCACCAGCACCAACGACCCCGTGGTACCAGCACCCCTTGCCCACTGGTCGGCATGCCAAGTGCACATTTCAATGTCATTGAGGATCGCAAAACAGTTTTTTCTCTTCTCTCGTGCAGCGATTGATGTGGGCTCCAAGTGTTGAATGCCTCATGGCATATAATGTGTTAATTGTGGCGGTCGAGACAGATGTTTCCGACTAAACAGCTAACTGGCCATTTGCCGGGAATTACAAAAAAAAAAAAAAAAAAAAAAAAAAAAAAAAAAAAAAATTTCTGCTTATTAAATGTTTTTAAAAATTTTGTAAAAAAATAAAAAAAAACAAAAAAAAAAAAAAAAAAAAAAAAAAAAAAAAAAAAAAAAAAAAAAAAAAAAAAAAAAAAAAAAAAAAAAAAAAATTTCTGCTTATTAAATGTGATAATCATAAATCATCTTTATGGCAATTGAAAAGCGCGTGAAATGCGCCGCCTGTGCGAATTGTGCTGCTGTTGCTGCTGATTCTTCTTCTGCTCCTCTTATTTGCTTCTTTTTTTAATGTAATAAATTGTGAAACTAATTTCCGTAACTTCAAAAGGGTTGGCTGGCGAGCCTTTACACCCCTTTTGGATCTAAGCAAATTAGTTCACTTTTGTTATACGATTTTTTCTTTTTTATTTATTTATGTTTTTTTTTTTTTTTTGCTATTTTTCGTGGCATTTTTAAATTGAATTTTAATTTTGTGCTGAGCAGCGCGCAGCTAATTTAAATTGAGACACATGCAGGCGCCAATAATTAAAAGCGCCCCCTTAGCCATCGTCCTTTACCCTTTGTCAGTGTTTTTTCATCTTCTTCTTCTTATTTGGCTTTCGACTGCAACTGTTGGCAACCGCTTCGCTTCGCGCCCTTTTGAGCCGCGTGATGCAGTACATTTTCCACATGAAATAACCACAAAAAGTCAAGTTTTCTTTTCGATTTTCATTTTTTTTGCCGTACGTTTGTTGGACTTCAGTTTTTTTGTTGTATTGAAAATGGGTTAAATTTAATTGCTTTTGTCATTTTGATTTGCATTTTTGTGCTTTTGTTAGCAATTTGTCCCGCGATTGGGGCACAAAATGTTCCCCAGGGTATCGTACATCATGCCGCCTGTTCATTCTGTTTGTATACATTTTTGTAAGGTATATACATACCCTATATTATGGCGAGCTATGGGTATTATGAACAAGCATTTAGACTTGGACACTTTACAATATCGATGCATGACAGATCGGTTAACTAATGTAAGTCACGAAGAATATTTATCGAAAATTTCAAATAAGATTTTAGTTGTATTTTCGATAAAAATCGATTATGGATTTTTACATTAAGTAGACCTAACAGGTTAAAATAATTATTTTTATGTTAATATGATATTTTTATCCAAAATATGTTTATTTTGTTAATAAAGAGGAACAAATATTTTTCTTAAAATAAATCGATAAATATTTTTAGTGAAGTCAATTTGGTTGACAAAACTGTATTTCGTTGATTTATATTTGCAAGTAAATATTGATTTAGAAAAGCAGTAGTATCTTTAAGCTGTGTATACCGCACCAAGTACCTTGTATTTTTATTTTCTTATTTATTTTTTTCCTTTTATATACAAAAAGTAATTTATCAAAATAAAAAGCTGTACATATTTTGGGTATTTTTTCCAGTTGCACTCTCCTTTTGTCGCTTAATTAGAAAGTCAGCAAAAAAAAAAAAAGAAAAGAGTTGAACTGTCGCAAAGGGTTAAAAGGTCGATGCTGTCAGCATGGTATGGTCATAATTTTGGATTTATATTAATATATGTACGTGATTTATGGCAAAGCCGAAATTATGATGCCTTTAAAGTCAAGTCGCAATTAGCATAAGGAATATGCCCTTATGAGATACTGTCGGCTGCCTAAACAAATAATTCTTTTCATTCGGCCAAAAATGAATTTTGTTTATTTGCTTAAAATTACGCCACTAAATATGTGTTTTCTCTATGTGGCCGTGGTGCGTGTGTGTGTGTTTTTGTTTTTTTTTTTTTTTCTTTAATGATTCTGTAATTTATAGCGCTTGCCAAACGAACCACAACTGCTGGCAGTAGAAACAACATGACAAGAAATTGGAAATTGGACGCCAAACTTCTACAACGGCAACCCCATTGCCCTGGCATCTTGTTGAAAGAAACAAGTATGACAGGCTACGACTGACTGGGTAATACTCGTTCATATTCAAATCGAGCTGCATGATCAAATTCGATGCGTTTGTATTTACAACAACTCAGTGGACAAAACTTTTGTAATTCATCTGAAAATCTCTGTGATCATAGATCTATGGATGATATTCAGTCTATTGATTTATCACTAAATGATGGTATAAAATGTTAACTCGAATTGTACAGATGATTACCAGATATTCACTTTATATATATTTTACGTTAAAGTCTCATACAACAAGCTCTTGCACAAAGCCAATATACTCTATGCACTCCCAAGGCGAGCATAATAAAACACATGTTATGTTTGCTTAGGGCAAATCAGCCCAAATATCACATAACATTTTTGAGGGTGTCAGAGGTTTTTTGTTTTTCGTCTTGAGTTCCTATTTGATAAGCACAAGTGCGTCTTTCATATAAATCATTTGTCTGCGACTAGCCTATGTAAAAGCAATTGGAATTTCCATATATCACAACAAAGAATCTTAATTTCTCTGAGATATATGTACATACCATGCACTAATTTATTATTGAGTTATAATTTTCAATAAATTTGAAGCACTTTTCATATCATTTTTGAGAATGTGCAGCAATTCAAAATAAAATTGTTTGCCTAAGTGAAACAATCCAGAACATGTCTGTCCAATTTTAATATAGGCTATGACTGATGTAAAAAGTGTCCCTATTTTTGCATTGTTATTAAATATGTATCGATAACGAATATCGAATTATATCGTTCTATGGAATATCTAAAAGCAAAAGAGTTACCAGAATATTATATATGCCTGAATTATTCATAAACTGTATTATTGTTGCTCTTTAAATTGTTATAGAATCGTTATATCACCGCTCCATTTTATTCTAGGGTTTCTATATAAAAGGCTCTTCTTATTATCTATCTGTCTGTTCTGAGGGACATGAAGAATTTAGAATGTAACGATAGACTTTAGCTATTTCCGTGCCTCGGCGGACGGCCGTTCAGCATTGATGAATTGACTGCCTTCTGAGGATCTTAACTCATATCTGTGTCTGTCTATCTGAGACCCTGCCACAACGAGCGTGCCGACTATTTTTAAAGACTCTAAAGTAGCTGCTGCTGATGCTGCTGGCCAGAGTCCAGTGCTGACGAGAGAAACGTGATCTCTGAACGATTGTGTGCGCACGATTTGCGATTAATCAAGCGATCCTTGCTGGGAAATCAGTTTTTAATCTGCGTGTTTGGGCTTACTCTGCCGTAAACCCGTCTCCGCCAACGCAGCTCGCCCACTCCTGCCGCCAACAAAGAGAGAGAGAGAGAGAGAGAGAGAGAGAGAGAAGTAGAGTGGGAGAGGGCTCGGTGTAAATAATTAAATGGCTATTGTGCAAAGAGTGCAACAAGTATCTAGCAGATACATGCGAATC